TTTATCTATCTATAGTATACAAATTTGAATAAGTTATGTACATCTCAAGATCTGTTCATATACCAGCTGGTAATGGTTTTAACAGTCCTGCACGCTACCAGACATTTCTTAGTCTAGCAAATGGACTACTTATCTTTGACAAATATCTCTCCGAACCATAGCATTTATGTTTTGATAATGTAGAGCATTATTAAATATATTAAATTAAAAGTGTTTTGTTAATGTATAGAGCACATACCTGTACAGAGATGAATACCTTTCTGTATTCCATGTTCTAATGACTGTTTAACTCAGTATTCCTGACTGTTATTTACCTGTACAAGTTGTCGTTCCATAGATCAAGATTGCACTTTCAGAGGTGTTCATTGGATAATAAATCACATGTCTTTCTAATTTGTCACCTCATGAAGTGAATTTACCTCCAACTTGTGGTGTGAACAAAAAGTATTTAAGTATGGTATCAGTCCAGTGGGGGATCTGTCTCCGATGACTCAAGATTGCATCCAAACACTCACATTTAAAACTCTATTTATCTAAAACATTTCTTTACAGTTTGGAATGATTTAATTCTATTTGCCAAACCTTTCGTTTAAAAGTTCGCCTGTTTGTACTAGTATTTGGATACAAAAGTAAAAATTCCAGTCTAGGTTTGTTGGATAAGTTGTAGTGTAAACATGATACTAGGCAACAAATCCATCGTAGACTTGTAGAGCGAGGTCACGCCACTGAAATATTATTGAACTGCAGGGACTGCTTAACATTGGAGAAAACAACATAAAACAATTGTGTATTGTGAATTGTCACTGGGACATTTGAGTGAAGCTCCAACAATAAAGGCATTGTCAGACGGACAGCTCGTCAAGTATACCACTACTGTTGGCCAGGCGAAGACGGTTTAATGAAGAGTGAAAATCATTATGCTCTGTGTTGAATAACAGCCGTACATCCATAACTGTCGTTGGGTTAAAGGCATCATAGAATTTTGAAGACAATATCAAATACTATCATAAAGGCACTGCTGAAACCTGTCGTCAACATTTTACGTGTGGATAACTTAGTGAATACCTGAAAATGGTTGATATATTCCGAGGAATGGCGGATAGTCCTGACATTGATCCAATGGTAGAGTATCATGCATTACTGGTATCACACACAACATTTGCTATAGAAACAGGTGTTGTTACTACATTGACAATGATTGTTGTCAATCTGTGATGATGAGCATATCTTCACCAGAGGCTGTTTAGCCAATTACAGCATCCTGACATCAAACTTACCTTTTATCTTTATGTAAATAATCTTTATACTTATCGTTTATCTTAATGTAAGGAATCTAGATCTGTGGCTGTACCTGTGAAAGTTGCACTTATAAAACTCACCTTTTATCTTAATGTAAGGAATCTTCAAACTCACCTTCTATCTTAATGTAAGGAATCTTCAAACTCACCTTCTATCTTAATGTAAGGAATCTTCAAACTCACCTTCTGTCTTAATGTAAAGAACTTTCAAACTTACCTTTTGTCTTAATGTAAGGAATCTTCAAACTCACCTTCTATCTTAATGTAAGGAATCTTCAAACTCACCTTCTATCTTAATGTAAAGAACTTTCAAACTTACCTTTTGTCTTAATGTAAGGAATCTTCAAACTTACCTTTTGTCTTAATGTAAGGAATCTTCAAACTCACCTTCTATCTTAATGTAAAGAACCTTCAAACTTACCTTTTATCTTAATGTAAGGAATCTTCAAACTTACCTTTTGTCTTAATATAAGGAATCTTCAAACTTACCTTCTATCTTAATGTAAAGAACCTTCAAACTTACCTTTTATCTTAATGTAAGGAATCTTCAAACTTACCTTTTGTCTTAATATAAGGAATCTTCAAACTCACCTTCTATCTTAATGTAAAGAACTTTCAAACTTACCTTTTGTCTTAATGTAAGGAATCTTCAAACTCAGCTTCTATCTTAATATAAGGAATCTTCAAACTCACCTTCTGTCTTAATGTAAAGAACCTTCAAACTTACCTTCTATCTTAATGTAAGGAATCTTCAAACTCACCTTCTATCTTAATGTAAGGAATCTTCAAACTCACCTTTTGTCTTAATGTAAGGAATTTTCAATCTTACCTTTCGTCTTAAAGTTAAAAAATATTCAAACTTACATACCTTTTTTCTTAATGAGTGGAAACCAATACAAAATCAGAGAGTTGTCCACCGAATGAGCCGCTGCAAAGTTTTAACATAGAGGAATGAAAACATGGTCAGTAAGGTAGCGTTCCTTTTGATGTGCAAGGACTAGTGAAAAACACATGTGTTTCACCACCTAAGGTATAATATTCTGTAATATAAGATGTAGTTTTGGTTTGAAAAGTCCAGAAGTCTTTATTCAGTTAACCTTGGAGTTGCAATTTCTACCTGTATTAGACTAATTACTTGTTCCACCTGGGCGACTAAATGCAATTATTGACTCTTAATTCTGGAATGTGTGAATTTAAGTCGGCCTAATAACGGTAACATATTCTGTCAGATAAAAGGTAAAGGCAATAGAGTCTATTAAGTCTAAATGAGAAAATTGTCAACAGAAAACATGGAATTGTATTGAATGCAATACACAGAAAGGCAATTTACTTACCATCACACTTTTTTGTTAGTAGATGTAAGAAAGGTAATTTCATGTCCAATGAAAGGGTTTGGGGGCCTGTTTAAATGGCAAGAACCAGGATGTATGTGTTACATACTGTTATCATGGTTGGAGTCTTACTTTACAAATCATTGCCTAAGATTTAATGTAATTTGCTCTGTGGTGAGCAAGTTCATCAAGCTCATTAGAAGGACAGGTATGAGCACACCTGTTCTCACCTATCTACTTGTGTCTACCTATGTGTACCTGTGTCCCAGCAAGAATACTGTTACATACCCCAGTTGTAGAGAAACACTACGCAGCGCAATATCATCACCAAGATGTCCAAACCATTCAACCTGACCGCTCACTTTGAGACCAAAGGGCTAGTGCAGCGTGTGAAAGCCATGGAGACCTTGGTAATGGATGTCTCCTGTTTCTAGAAATGTCAAAATCATTTCAGGTTATACTTATGTTAATGGAACAATACCTAGTGTTTCCAGCCAGAACTCACTCAGATTTCATGTACAATGTAATGTCTGTTCAGTTTACAGTTATATGTTCAATTCAACCGTCGGGGAAACTACTTATAATGTTTTATTGTAGTGTAAATATATGTATGTTTAATTGTACATGGCATAACAGACCAGATTGGTAACAAATGGATATGTAATAAATTTGTACAATGTAAATGATATTTTATATGTTTCCATGGTTACAGTATGTTGATTATACAGGTATGATAATCATAACAAAACTGGATGAGGGAAAATCCAGATCTTGATCTGGTGTTCTCTGATAGTGCATAATTCTATGAGTGAAAAACCTTTCTAGTTTTCCCCTGTATTTATCTGTTTACATCATCCCTTTGTAAACAGCAGACTGACTTTTTCTTTAGGTTATACTGAGGAATCTTCCTGTTACACAAGTGTTATAATACCTATTTGTTAGCTTATATACTTGTGTCTCCTCATAACTTTTGATGCTTCAACATTTGCAATTTTAATTACCTTGATCTGTCTCTATAACTTAATTCCTTCAAACTGGGCACCTGTTTTGTGGTGCTTCTCTGTACAATTTCAATTTTGTAAATGTTCTTTTCTAGATAAAGGATTCCATATGCTAGCTCTGTACTCTCCAGGTGTGGCCTCACTATATCTTTATACTAGTAGCTAAAATGATTTTCATCTAAATATGTAGCCCCAAACTCCAGGTGTGGTCCCTATAGATCTTTATACTAGTAGTTAAAATGATTTTCATGTAAATATGAAGCTCAGAACTCCAGGTGTGGTCCCTATAGATCTTTATACTGGTAGTTAAAATGATTTTCATGTAAATATGTAGCCCCAAACTCCAGGTGTGGTCCCTATAGATCTTTATACTAGTAGTTAAAATGATTTTCATGTAAATATGTAGCTGAGAACTCCAGGTGTGGTCCCTATAGATCTTTATACTGGAAGTTAAAATGATTTTCATGTAAATATGTAGCTCAGAACTCCAGGTGTGGTCCCTATAGATCTTTATACTGGTAGTTAAAATGATTTTCATGTAAATATGTAGCTCAGACCTCCAGGTGTGGTCCCTATAGATCTTTATACTGGTGGTTAAAATGATTTTCATGTAAATATGTAGCTCAGACCTCCAGGTGTGGTCCCTATAGATCTTTATACTGGTAGTTAAAATGATTTTCATGTAAATATGTAGCTCAGACCTCCAGGTGTGGTCCCTATAGATCTTTATACTGGTAGTTAAAATGATTTTCATGTAAATATGTAGCTCAGAACTCCAGGTGTGGTCCCTATAGATCTTTATACTGGTAGTTAAAATGATTTTCATGTAAATATGTAGCTCAGACCTCCAGGTGTGGTCCCTATAGATCTTTATACTGGTAGTTAAAATGATTTTCATGTAAATATGTAGCTCAGAACTCCAGGTGTGGTCCCTATAGATCTTTATACTGGTAGTTAAAATGATTTTCATGTAAATATGTAGCTCAGACCTCCAGGTGTGGTCCCTATAGATCTTTATACTGGTAGTTAAAATGATTTTCATGTAAATATGTAGCTCAGAACTCCAGGTGTGGTCCCTATAGATCTTTATACTGGTAGTTAAAATGATTTTCATGTAAATATGTAGCTCAGAACTCCAGGTGTGTCACCTGTGAACACCAATTAGGTATACTGATGATTTTATTGTTTCCAGTTAATTATGATAAACATTTCAAATAACAGTCCAAGGACACTGCCCTGAGGAACCTACTAGATAAAGTAATGATGTTCAGTTTTATTGTTTACCTTAGTGATATCAAAGTTACCATAGTTACAGGATGGTTTTCCACATGTATAGGATGATTGTTCAATATTTGTTTCTATGGTTACAGGATGCTGTGAAGATGAACCAGCTCCAGAATTTGATACATGATGCTCTGATCTCCACGGATCATGTCCAGCATTGTGCCATTGTCAGGCGAAAGGACTGTAATGTTCGAGCTAGCTCTGTCGGCTTCAATGTAAGCGAGTTAAAGTTCACCTTCATAAAAAGTTCACCTTCATAAAAAAAACTAAAAGAATTAATATGTGTTGATATTTCTGGAAGATCTTATGCTGAATGGAACATTTTTACTTTATTCTAAAACCCTCCAAGTGAAAAGTTGTCCATTTTTCAGATAGTTTTAAACTTACCTGGTCTGAAGCATACTTTGGAAAAAGTATAAAGTATGAACAGTTAACCTGTATAAGATATATATCTCAGAAATGGTTGGTGGTTATGTTGTATATATAGGATAGACGATTGATAAGCATCAATTTTGACTTATAAAAAAATATGTGATTTACCTGCTCTTTTGTATCATCAGAAGAGACGGCTGTTGAGAAATAATTATGCTGTACATGATGGAGGGTTTACAATGTGAGGATTATCTGTATTGTAGCTATATCCAGACCAGGTACAGATGTTGCTGGATGCCTTTAAGAACCCACCTCAGACACGAGAGGAAGGTGTTTACTTTGATGACAGGCAGTACAAATGTGTGAGAGCAGATAAAAACTCTATCTATGGCAAATGTGTAAGTAAATAGATCTAGGATGTCAGTTGTTACTTAGATAGAAAATATAGTGGCCATAGAAACACTAGAAATAAGAGAAATCAAACATCTGTTATTGGAAAAATTAGGTGTAGGTGTCAGACAGCAATACATTCTATTTTTATTGTGCTATTTGTAAAGAGATACTGGTAAAGACCCTGTCCATGCTTGTGGTGGCGACTTACACAGAAAGCATGTACCCTAGTGTATGTGTGGAGGCAGTAGAGAAACTTGGTAAGGACTATTCTATTACTGGATTGTGTATGTGTGGAGGCAGTAGAGAAACTTGGTAAGGACTACTTTATTACTGGATTGTGTATGTGTGGAAGCAGTAGAGAAACTTGGTAAGGACTATTCTATTACTGGATTGTGTATAAACACTAGAAACTGGATTGTGTATGTGTAAGAGAAATGTGTCAAACATCTGGATTGTGTATGTGTTATTGGAAAAATTACTGGATTGTGTATGTGTGGAGGCAGCAATAATTCTACTTATTATGGATTGTGCTATTCTTTTGTAATTTTCACAAAAGACTTCTTGTAAAGAGAATGGTGTTTTGTGTATGTGTGGAGGAGAAGAAGGGATAACTGGATTGTGTATGTGTGGTAAAGACTTGGTAAGGACTACTTTATTAACTGGATTGTGTATGTGGAGGCAGTAGAGAAACTTACATTTATTAACTGGATTGTGTATGTGTGGAAAGTAAGGACTACTTTATTAACTGGATTGTGTATGTGTGGAGGCAGTAGAGAAACTTGGTAAGGACTACTTTATTAACTGGATTGTGTATGTGTGGAGGCAGTAGAGAAACTTGGTAAGGACTACTTTATTAACTGGATTGTGTATGTGTGGAGGCAGTAGAGAAACCTACTTTATTACTGGATTGTGTATGTGTGGAAGCAGTAGAGAAACTTGGTAAGGACTATTCTATTACTGGATTGTGTATGTGTGGAGGCAGTAGAGAAACTTGGTAAGGACTACTTTATTACTGGAATATGTATGTGTGGAGGCAGTAGAAAAACTTGGTAAGGACTATTTTATTAACTGGATTGTGTATGTGTGGAGGCAGTAGAGAAACTTGGTAAGGACTACTTTATTAACTGGATTGTGTATGTGTGGAGGCAGTAGAGAAACTTGGTAAGGACTACTTTATTAACTGGATTGTGTATGTGTGGAGGCATATATATTTATGAAAAAACATTCTCATTGTTCTTCAGTAAACATGATTTAACCAATGTCAGTAAGGGACATAACTCTTACACAAGACAATGAAAGGATGTAACCTTAACACATCATAGAAAAGGTGCAGTTAAGTTAGAGGCTTTGGAGTTTTTTTGGTTTTTTTTTTGTTTTTTTTGTCATATTTTTTTCATTTTGAATATTTCAATTTCTGCAATATAATATCTTTCTATTTTGAACAAAAATAGTGTAGGTTTCAGAAGCTCATTTAAAATGATACTTCATCAGATTAAAATGTGAGTATCTTGTCTTTTTGATCAAGACGGACTTCTGATGGTTACACTGAGAATGCATGTAACCATTAGCTAGTGTACCATAGTAAACTACCACTTGAGATCACACCATAGGCCCCAGTGTTCATCAACAAAGTTACAAGGATCAAATTTTGCTATTTTGCTTACCTCTCTTTTCAAATATCAATTCATGAAATAAAATGCCAATAAAATAAATGAATTGAATTTTAATTTAGTGTTATTCTGAAAGAGCAGTATGTTTAGAAAATGTAGAAGCATATTTTGAAACAGCCTTGGAATTCAATTCTGAATTTGCCTCCTCAGGAACATGAGTTGTCTACCCATTATATCAATTTTAAACACTTGACTTACATATTTGAGTTGTCTACCAGTTATAGTGATACATTTTTTCTTGTTTTGTTTTCAAACACATATGGGACTAAGTGAGTTATCTGCCCTTTAGGTTTACTTGTTGTCCAACCTTTAAGGATGTACTCTTCCTTTGACTGGAAGTAAGACATATTATTATATATCAATGAATTCCAACATATCTTGAAGTTTCTATATAATATGTTATATACTTTATTTTGTTGGAAACTGGTGATTTATGTTACATTATGAACAAATTATCCTCATGGACTACATTTTTTTATGGTTTAGTTAACATGTGATTCATTTAATAGCGTCAACAATTTCACCATTTTCTGGTTTTTAAGGTACTTCTCTTAGGTTTTACCTGGAAAGTCTTTGGTAGATTTCAACTATATTTTACATTAGTTATCACCACAAATGACAGATTTCAAATTTGTGAATTTTGACTTTGTGACCACTTTCCCTGTTTTTTTAGGACATGAAAATAATTAATACAGTTGATTTCTTGATCGTGGAAACACTGGCTGTTTGGGTAAAAATTGTAAAAAAATAAAGCACAAAAACCCTTCTTTTTCCATTATGAAAAATATGTTCAAAAATTTCTCTTTAAAAAAGTTCTGTACTAGAAAATGGTCTATTTATGTCATTTCAGAAAAAAAAAAATCATTTTTTGGTTGTTATGCAGTTTAAGCTTGTTTATTCGAATGAAAACGTAGCATTTTCACATCATTAGTTCTCAATATCCAAGTATCATACCCTTACTTTGTAATGAAAAAATGAAAATATCAATTATTCAAGACAAAAAGTAAATTAATTTCCTGTTACACATATTCTGTCGCCAGTACCAGAAAAAGTAGTGCAGCAATATATTTATTTTTTGCTTGTAATCTACTTTCTAAAATCAAACCTTTCAAAAAAACATCAGAAAAAGTTTATTCTAGAATTTTTTTACTTCTCAGAGGTGTACATCCTTACATGACATTGATTAATTTCCTCCATGACACTGGCTGAAATAACTGGTCAGACACGTACTGTAATGATAGGTCACTGATGGAATCAGGACACAATATTGTTTACAGATAGTGATATTACTGTATAAGCCTATTTCAACTTTAATGGTTTGTCTTATTTTTTCAGCTGATTATTTTAAAGAGAAAGGAAAATAGATTTGCTGATATATGATTTGACTGCTGTCCAGTTGAATGACAAACTGAAGCCAACAGATTCTTCACACTGCCAAACTGAATCCGTCCACCTAACTGGGGCTGACCCTATGCCTGAGTGATTGCGTTTGCTTATAAACCTGGGGGGAAACTGCATGGCAGACTCTTACCATTATTTTTGTATGGTACATAACATCAGTGTATACTGTTTAAAGATATTGATGCCATTTTACATGCCTCTTAATCCATTGAATAACATGGTTATACAAGATTTATTTTTGAATCAAAGTTTTTGTAAACTATGGATCGTAAGTTTTAAAATCAAACCTATTTTTACACTTAACATTCCTCAATAGTAACAGAGCCATGTTTGTAGTTCATGATTTGTTGTATTTCTTCAAACATGGACACGACATCTTTCGTAAATCTCTGTATCATCCAGTCTTGCCTAAATAATAAATATTAAAGTTCTGTAGGAAAGAAATCAGGTGTGTGAGGGTAAAGAATGCAAGACTAGATAGATATGGACAGTTGTTTATGGGGTTTTTCATAGCGATGTTTCATACACGACACGAGATATGATAGTTGTATGATAAAATAGAAGTTATGTATGTACAGGATGAAGTGTAATGAATGAAATTGATTGTGAACGTAAATGTCAAAATGAGATATTTTTCTTTTTTAAATGTGTAGTATGAATGAACGATTTTACTTGTGAATACAAACATTGTTGTACTATATATTTTGAAGTGGAAGTGGATTAGTTCAGATCATATATCTCTATTTCTTAATATATGTGTGGAAAATCTAGCTTTTGTGAATGAATGAATTTGTCTGTTAAGTTTAACATAAGCTTTTTCGTAAGAAGAATTTAATTCTCAACAAGAGTGAGATCAATCTTAACATTTGTTTCCATTTCCAAGAAGATGTATAAAAAAATTCTCACTGAAATGTACATACCGTAATAGTCCTATTTACAGATATCCGTCCAGGTATACTTTTTCTTGATGCATGATAAAATTTCATAAAGATAGCATATACTGTATTCATGTGCCATATAAATAATTGTTCTGTATAATCACTCTAAAAGATATCAGATATTAAATTTGATCTTGTGTCTTGTTTAAGTTACCAGTCATACAAAAAGATTTATCAAGACATTTTGAGGTAAATAATCTCAGATCATTTGGAGTTATGTCCCTTAGTGTCCTTGCTGATTGAACGTGCAAGCAGCTTTTGCTACATCAGAACTTGGTAACATCCATGTTTTCATAACTATGTTTTTGAATTCTCAGAATTTTGTCATATTTTTCAATTTCCTTTTCTGCATATGTATATTTAGTGAAATAAGCAAATAAGAAAAATATATTTTCAATATTTATATATTTTTTTAATAGTATTTGTTTGAATGTCATTTAAATTGGAGTTGAGTAAAACCAATACATGTATAGTAATAATTAACACCTGTGTTTATTTTCTGTATTTAATCATATATCATTTCTGTATCACAAATCTCATTCCAACAATGTATTATTCTACATGAATTTAAATTTAGGTATATCTTTCAAAGTCGACGGAACTGAAAACTTTTCAGTGTTTGACAAATTCCTGAAGTTTTATTGTTCCTGTGTACATACAAAATACATGCAACAAGATAGTTTTTAATTTTCCCTCTGCTTAGGCAAGCAGTGAGAGTAATTCATATTTCTTAATGGCAATGAAGATTAACGTTTCTGAGGGTCTTTATATGATAGTTTATAAAAGATTAGCAGAGTTTTTGAAATCATGTACCGACTGACTCGCGTTCAAGACCGAGTTACTTTTTTCAGTACAAGCATACATTTCTCAGCATGCATGTATATAGGTAAAATTTGAAATGGCATAGAGTTTGTTTGAATTCTACCAAAATGGCATTAAAATATCTTATTGAACATCATCCCTTCACTATATACCCACATGATAACATCCTATACTTTCTAGCCTTCCACAGATTTTAGTACACTGTGACTAAGCAATGTGATCTCTGAAAGGTTGCAACACTGTTATGTAAAGCAGCAATTTCCAAAACTGTGCATATCAAGTTTACACAGATCAGTTCCAACATCCAGTACATGTGTGTTTGTGTATTGTGGAGTGGAATAATTCTAGACCACCTGAACCGTTTTAATAAGGTTACATGGAACTGGCCTAATAGTTTCACATAAATTTGTTCTGAATTGCCCTTATCATTAAGATGCTATATAATGTTTTATGCTACACTTACTGTCTAAGAAGTATTAATCTTTTCACACATTCATGAATAGGGAAAAAATCCTCACTTGATCCTTGGGTCACGATGAAGAAAAAACCATATCTTTAAGGACAGTGACCATTATTCATGTAATTAAAACTGTTGAACAAAGCAAAAATGTTATTTTTGTAAATACAAAATCTAGAAATGTCATGAAAATTTCAAGATTGTTTCCAATTATCCATGATTTCTTCATTAATAAACAGCTCAATCATTTAAGTAAGGGAAATAAATAAAATTTGAATAGGTGAATCATAACTAGCAGAGTTTATTCCCTTGATAGAGACCTGCATCACCAAACAGAGGCAAACAAAGCTGTTCTGTTCACTATCTTTATTTCATAATTCTATCATATATAAAGATTACATTTGACAATGATATTACAGAGGTAATATAACAAATGCACCCACATCTGGCATATTTGTAACAACTTTCATCTTTTACATAAATGCTAATGCTTTGCCTTGAATTAAGCCACATATAAATTGTTTCCACATTTAAATAAGGAATTGAATTACTTCCACAGTTAAAGAAACATCAATTTAATGCCAACTATTAAAGCTGTTTCAATATGATTGTAATTCCTGGAAGCCAACTGTAGAATGGAACAAACAAGGACAAAGGCCAACAGCAATTATATCCAATTATTATTGATATTATTTTATAACAATTTGATCAACTTTCGAAGTGATGCCTTCCATAATAAATTTCCTAGAAAATTTTCATTTACATACCATGTACAAAAGCTGCAAAAATTCATTATAGAATGTGATCTCACAGAATTCAATGGTGAACCTTCTTTATCCATGTAGCTATTGAAACAATGTTTGTCATTTTAATGGGAAAATATTGCAATCAAATGTGACACAAACTTGTAATCCAAACAAAATGTATTTGTAAAAATGGAGATTACTGATAAGAAATTCGGTCATTAATACAAGTATTTAGGTTTCTGACTTTAAATCAATCCAATTTTTCCAGATCACAGGAATATACATGCAATGATTAGTTTTTCTCCGAATCAATCCAATTTTAGTAAAGTAAATTACAACATAAGAGTTATGAAGAAAATACTATTTTCAACGGGACTTACTGGTCCTGAAGTTAGCTGCATAAATAAGTAGGTAAAAAGAGACGTATACCTCAAAAATAGACCAACATATAGTGTGTACAAACTGCTAAGCTTCCTTTTAACAAACATGAAAACAAAATGCACAACTACATCTCTCTTCTAGCCTTTACAACAGTCAAGGCAAAGCTCATTTCAAAAGACAAATGATCAAGGACATTAACAACATCTGAATGGTTTCATTAGTAAGATACCATGATCACACAACAATCATTTTATCCTCCTCATTGCAATTTTTCAATAAACAAAATCATCATGTAGTTGTTTTTTTTTCAACTTTCAACAATTTTAATTTTTATGAAAATATATTTTTTCTTAAAAAATTAATTTTTGGTTCTATCAACATGTAATTTATGAACTATACATAAGTAGTCTGGTCTCAGGTGTATAATCACCATAAATACGTATATACATATTCATAAACATGACAAAATGTTTATCAAATTTGTTATCACACTATTAAACAACAGTCCAACCTCTCTGTCCTCAAACCATGAGCATACACTTGACTTCATGAACAGTTCATAGTTGTAGCTTTCTACTAACACAGTAAACAACCAATATCTACATATCTCTGCATGGAGAAAATGTCTTCTTCTGTAAAATGATAAAGTGTGCCATTAGACAATTTACATCTATATCTTTCATACACCATCACTTATAGTAGTGTGAAATAAGATACTATTTTCATATTTAGTGTTTTAAGTGATAACACACTATTGTCTAGTAAATTTAGGTAAATACTTATGGTATATTGTTTATGTAACATACAATAGCAGATTAAGTTCATCACAAATCTGTGAACATTTTTATAAATTCTTTTCAAATTTTCTTATCAGGTTATTATAAATTACATATATATATATATAGGATAATAACAATTGAAAAGTTTGAAGACAGATTTAAAAAGAAAAAATTTACTTAATATAATGTAACTTTTCTTGTTGGTTAACAATACATGTAACCGCACATATTTGTCAGCTTTTGAATCAGAATTCTACTGAATCCATTGATCTAGCCATGAAGTTGTGAAATATAGACGAGGACAATGTAAAGACTACAAAGTACCTTAAAATAACTTTTTTTCAATAGGAAGGCACAGTTGAAATTTTGTATATGTAGGCACATAGTCAGTGGACGGTGCTTACTTTTGAAAGACAAGGACAAGTCAGAAAAAATTAGATTTGCTAGCTTGTTGGTATATGTCTATATAAATCCACCACCACTCCATTTACATAGACTGAAATACAGTGTAATCAGTTGCTAAGCAAATTGTTGTTTGCTCATGGGTAGCTTTCATATAGAATAAATGATTTCCATTTACAAGAAATACCTATCATTTATACAGGATGCCAAGCCCTCCGAAAAATATCACAATACAATCATAACAGTAAACACAATGTATTACATTTAAACAGTTTAAAATGATTTCTGCCAAAAACATGAACAGGACAAAACACTTATCTAAAACATGTTTTTTTCTGAAATCTGAGTAATATTTTGACTGTAATTTACAACTGTATGTATACATAAAGCTGAATCATTCACCATACAAGGTTATGTACAGTATCTCAAATAACCACTAGCCATAGTGAAGTGAAGCAGTTCACATTATGGAAAGCCTCTTCTTCATACTTGTGGTGACTCCATAAAATATATGTTTTTTATGTCTAGACTATGAAATATGAATTGATATAAATATATATAAACAATACAAGGTTAACACTTTTGATGTTAACAACATATTCATAATCTTATACTCCATTTCTTGGAGGATATGAAACACATCAGAAACATTTGAGAATTTTGTCATCCTTTATTCTTAACTGAAATCATGTTTTACATTATGTTTCAATTGTTTTATTTTTAGGAGCAAGAGCCATGCATTACATATGGAGACTGGTGTTTTGTATCTTCCAGGCAGTTTATGGAAGAAGCATTGAACGAAGGTTCAAATTGAATACACTTGTGTATAACATTTGCAATGGCTACATATAGACCAGTATATGGATGATTTCAAAGCCTTATATGTGCCTAGATCAGAAATGCACAAAATCTCTGTCTTTGACATGTTTACTCCAGTCTCATTTAACCTTTGAGATGAAGAATCTAGAGTTTATTTTTCCCCTTGTCTGTATAGCTGAGTTACCTCCCTTCACTCATCCAGATTGTCTCCATTTGTACAAATTTCCTTCGGTGTTTCATCATTTTCCAAGACCTGTTGTTCTTCATATACCTCCCTGTTCACTTCATCAGGCTCAGGCATTGCGTCCTCGTCATCTCCATTCTCTCTACTTGGCTCCTCTTCTGGCACCTCAACCTCGTCCTCTTCTCTTCCATTGTTGATCACTTGCTGTTCCTCTTCCTCTTCTGGGACCTGAACCTGTTGATCATCTTGGTATATCAATGGCACAGAAATGGTGGGGGGCTCCAGCTTTTGCAGATTTGGTGGCTTAATTCCACCCACATTTTTCACCTTTGATATGTAGTGTGAAACCACTTCCCTGTCTCCTGGTAATGTCTCCAAAAAAGCAGGAATTGCGTATGCATTTTTTAAGTATCTCCAAATTCCTTCAAATTCCTCTGGAATTTCATACTTTTTCAAAGCCTAAAAATTAAAACAAAAATCAGAGTGACACCATAATCTAGCAAATATAGGTGGTATTAGGAGGAAGATGAGAGGTGACCTAATCCTCATTAATTATTGTATAAATATAATTTACCAGTACAAGTATTAAGTGATGAAATATTCATTTATGAAACTTAAAGTTACCATCAATTTTATGCTAAAGTAATGAGTACTTGGAATAAGCAATAAAGACTTCTAATGTATAACCATCCTAAATATTCAAATATCAAAAATTGTACAACACACTTACAGCACCAGCTATCCGCACATGTTGCAGTTTTGGCAAAAGACAACAGTCGGCATATGATAAAGAACTCCCACACAGGAACTTTGTTTCTAATTTGCGAAGGTGTTCATCTATGGTTTTAAGGTAAGCTGTAAACTTTATTCCACTATTGTCTGGAGATACTAGAAATAAGTTAAATTTCTGAAAATGAAAAAAGAGTCTCATTAAAACCATGTTAACAATCTCATGGTTAAACAAATATGTAGGCAGTCCTATCCAATAACATTGTTGCCTAAATAACAAATATGATAGCATTAATGCACAAAATACAAAGCTTTTGCATAGTTTTTTTCATTATCCATGTAAGTCCTGATTTAACATCTCATTATTTCCTACATATCTTCATTTTTCTATTCATGCTCTCTTCAACTTCATATATGTCTACACATCAACTACTTTTAGAAACATCTTAATTCCTTCTATAAGATGATTCATTAACAATGACAGCTGGTATTTAGCAAACCCACAAATGCAAGGGGCAAATTAGTGTCTCTGCTCACCAAAATTATTCTGATGCATCAATTTTTTATATCAGTCTGGTGTCAAACTCTAGACCGACATTTAAAAGGTGATGATATACAACATCAGAATAATTTCGACTCCTCCTTTATTTACAGTCAGGCATTTATTACATCTTAAAAGACTTTTCTAATATCTTATTGTATCAAACTTAGTAAAAATATGAATATCAAACACACCTTACACCTGAAACAACAGGCCACAAATCCAATGGATCAGATGAAACGACATATCAAATTTCTCAGTGTTCAACTTCTTATTATAAATCAACTATATGTTTGTTCTTCTAAGTTTAAAATAACACATATTTCTAAAACTCCTTCCCTTGCTCACTGTAGACAGCAGACAATAAATAACAAAATAAGTCAAGGGAAATAACTGCCAAGCAAATTAATCATAACACTGTATGTCTCTGTCCTCTTATTGCTAAATTTTATATCATAAAAGTTCTTCAAATTGACTTTGATAGTTAAACATGTTTTCAGGCATGTACACAAAGTTTTATTTATAAACACATAAGCAAGCTGCCATACATGTGTTTCAAATTAAGTTTACTCTCACTTCCAGGCCAAGTGTTATATGAATCATATGCCAACGAGTTCCAGCTCATGCAGTCAAACAGTCGACCAGCAATTAAAATAGTTTTCACATTGAATCCCAACCCTCTTAAATTATGTCGGTCATCCACTAGTAATCCCTCAAATATATTTACATGTACAACATACTAAGCCTTGACAAACCTTAAATTCAATGTATAATAGTTATAATTCAAGAAAAAATAGCCTTTTTACCAGTATATGAATGTGTCATTCTATCATATAATGAAGGTCAACTTCCATGCTCTCAATGTCAGTGACGTTATATTGTGTTGAGAAAGCCAACATCCATGCCACACATACATACTCTCAATGTCAGTGCCACTATATTGTGTTGAGAAGGCCAACGTTCATGCCACACATACATACTCTCAATGTCAGTGACATTATATAGTGTCCTGAAGGTCAATGTCCATGCCACATATACATACTATGTCCATGCCACACATACATACTATCATATGGATAAAGAAACTCTCTGTATTTGTTTTTGTTTCATTTCTAAACACCATTTACACATTCTTACTGTAAGGTGTCAGGCCTCTTGATCTATATACATACAACAGGAATGCAATCAAATGTTATTACAGGTTTGATATTTATACCTTCATTCCTCTTTTCTTGTTAAAATCCACCACAGGAAGTCAAGAAGCCTTGTACTGTATCTAGTGATCGTTTATACATTTATTGTATGTACTTGCTAACCTAAAACCTGTTGACCGGAGGAAACACCTCCCTCACCCTTTGACAAGTACATCTGATTGAAAAGTTCTACATGTAATGTAAGATTGATATTTTCATTACTGTAAACGCAAACAATGAAGGAAAACTCTGTGGATGGGGTAGGTCTATCAAAGTGACTTAAGTCTCACCTCATCATCATATATATAGAAATATATAGAAAGTCAAAAAATTACTTTTTTTCTCAAATAAATCTGATTGGCTCAACTCATTATCACTATAACTTCATCATGTCAGGGGATATTCAATTCAGGGCTCCAGTCATTTGGGAATGGGCCTGTATTTCATTTTTGGGGAATAATTACCAATTGAGAGGGAAATTTTTGGAGTAAAATAAACATTATGAACTTATCATGGAAGAAATCCATTTGGGAATGGGCCCTTATCCCCCTAACCCTGAGCCCCTGGAAAATAGAGAACGATGAGATTGTTTGGTTTACTATATTATAGCTAAGATGTTGGTGGACTTGGCTAACTTTTATTAGAGTTGAGTTGCTTTGTTTTCATCCATAATTCCATATTAACGTATACATTAAAACTTTTATCAATTTTACATTATGAATTTAGTAAAACAAGAAAAAAGCTCATTACAATATGTTCTTCCAACTTGAATTTTGTATTTGTAATAACTGAATTTTTATCTGCTAGAATCGCAAGACTTACTTATTCTACCTCCGTTACAATTTTAATGAAGTTCATAAAGACACCTGTATATTTAAAATAAAATTAAATCAAAGCATTTGTCAGAAGTGTACTGTGTAACTGAAATAAGTTTGACTAGAATACTTCCATGAAAATTCACCTTCAGATCCAGTATGTTCTTAATTATACTGTTTAGTTTAATTCACCACTAAGTGCTAGCTATATTTGAGTTTGTACACCTCAGGTTATAAGCTTCATGACTTTTGAAATTTGACGTTGATAAATGTTACTTAATTCAAATTACCTAATCGCAGATTCATAAATTAGACCTGATATCAACAATTATACTAAGGATGACACTAATGTTATCTTATTCAACATACATCTGTATGTGTATACACATGCATAAACATGGCTCTCGTACCTAATGTTTATGTGCGTGTCCAACAACTTAATCAACCTGATAAATAAGTTTTCTAACTCTGACACAATGACGACCACACATTGATGTAGCTATATAGATACATGGTCCATTGTGGCCACATGATGTAATGCTAAAAGACTATGAATAACAATTCTGACACTTCAGACACGCAAAAATTCAATTAGTTTACGGTATTAAATGGTGATATTATACAGGATCACACTACTCATCTAGATTTGGTAAAAGTTACATATGCTTATAACGGATTTGATACTTCCATAAATACTTTCAAATCTAACATCCAAAATCAGTCACAACCAGGAAATGACCAAAAAGGGAAGTTTTTAAGTTCCTTAGGAGCATAAATAAGAAGCTACATTTAATGTGTGTTACATTTATGACCTATATTATATTATCAGTGTGGACAAATTCATTACATGGCAAATTTTTAAAGCAACTTTCTATCTTGATCATATATGTGACCAGTAACTATCAAACGAAACCAGGAATGCTAACAATGCTTAAGTCCAGGTCAATTATTGATATGTGTATGAAAACCAAAGTCTACAGGTAGTACACATTGCATGTTGGTTGGTAGTTGAACTACTGCCTCAACGTCAAGTGTCAGACAGTGCAAACAAATACAGCACTTGAACTTTTATGAATGGGGCACAGTTACTAACATAACTCAAAGATAATTTGTACATGTCAAAAACAGCAGACAGTACAGTGCCATCAAACAACGATGTAGATATTCTACAGTATCTTACCATGATCAGGTATATCTTACCAGGATAGACAATCTATTTTTTAGGTTTCACAGTTCACAATACTAGTTGAATTGATTGACAGTTAGGGGAGGGGGATCCTCTGTTCCTGTACATCAATAACTAAGTACTATTCTTTCAATAAACAATCAAACATGGAAAATGTTCCCATATTCAAAGAACCACACCATCCATTCACAAGACCTCTGAAATCTTAAGTTTATCAACTACAAAAATTATTTTCTACATTTAAATAAAACAAATATATTATAATTGTATTGGTTAAGTTGATATTATTTCAATAGATAATTAAGGACAATTCAGTTAGGTAATCTAATAGTTGATAACATAATGGCTACATGCATGATTTCTACATACATACTGTAGTGGTAGTTTCATACAAGACTTTGCTATTTTCTATGTTCTTTCAAAACAACATGGATAAATATTAGGAAGAGAGGTTGGGGGTGAAGACATGGTTATCTTTTTTCAAACTGGCTTTAAAATTATTTCAAATCTGACTTAACCAATACCTGAAGCATCCAATATCTTTTCAAAATTGAAAACTAAACTTAATAACTCTTTAAAACATCTATTCTGAAGATCACTTGGGAACCAGTTGAAGCCTCCTACACGAATTCAGTCCTAAAGTATATATATCCAGATGGGCGGACCCCACTAAGTATATCAGTACGTAGACAGACAGTGAGATAACACATTTACCTGAGAAGACGTAGGACACACTGTCCTATCATAATTCCAGTGTTGTGTATCAGCTGTTTTTCTATAATGATTGGCATGCAACAGGTATTCAATAAGATCGCCCAAGCTTGATGTGCTCTGTTTACATTCAGACAGGGCACATCAGCAAAGGGATGCAGATTTAAACTGAAAATCACTTGCCTTACATATCAAGTTTACATTTTTTGAAAAATTCAGTTTAATTGTCTGTAAGTCTGGGTATTTCATATTATATTACAAAAATGTATGAACAAATCTGATGTTCTGGATACTTTAAGGGCTATTCATGTTTGCAGACTAATGTAAGTAAAATACACATGCAAGTACTTTGGAGGATGGCAGATCAGATTCATCAAATGGTTTTTCATGTGGAAAAAGGCCAAAATGAAACAAATTTTAATACTGATATCATTAAATCAATAAAACTGCAGATGAATAAAATAGTATTTCCACACTTGACCTTGGAATGTAATTCACCCAGATAAGATGAAAGACTTGTTCATAATTCCTCACTGAAGTATATAAGCATGTAATCTAAATGAGAAAATTCAAAATTTAACCTTGAACCCTTACTTTTGACAAGTCTTGAAATAGCCGCAATGCATTCAAATTATTTGTGGTATTCCTTTTAAGATCCGGAAAATATGGATTCACTTCTTCAAAGAACCGTTCCACATCATCAATGGTTTCAACGACACGGTTTTCTAGACTTTGGTTATTGCTGTCCTCACCACCAAGTCCAATGACTACTGGGTACTGTGAGGGGTGCGTGCTTTGCAACCTTGCACTAAATGGTGCCGGTGGCGTAGCGGAGCACACCGTATACACACGGAAGCTGACACATTGTTTCTCTGCCAGTATGTAAGCCAACATGAACCACTGCTGACATATTGGGCATGATCCTTTGACATTTGCGTCTATCGTTGAAGCCTGAAATAGTAAAATATAAAATAAACTTTAATAACTAAACTTCCAACGAATATGGGTATGGTAAACAATTTTGCATAATGACAATTGATAAATAATGTCCAAAAAACGTTATGACTAGTAAAACACCTTTTTTCAAATAATTTTTCACGCAATTATTTTTTTATTTGAAATATTCTGGGAAGCCTGCTACCTTTTATTAATTGCCATCATTTATTGTTGTTGCCTACAGAATATATGTTTTTCAAATGTAGGTGAAAGTACATACACTAGGTAGTACATAGGGAAAATCACTGAAATTAGTATATGTGTAATATTGTCGTGTAAAAAAGTGTGTCCTTGACAAGCTTGCTGACATGTTATAAAAGCTGCTGTAGAAGATATCATTTCGTTCTTGGAAGTCACAAAATCACTGAACCGAATATTTGATATGAAATTCTTTAATTTAATCCCTTCATACGATAATTACATTCCGACCTATCCCACTGTCCTTACCTGTACAGGTACACAAGTGATACACACGTGCCTGTGTCACTGTTCAGTGGGCCTTGCCCCCGTTTCACCAATGTTTTGCGTTATGAAGAAATACAAAATACGTCAACTGTCCAGAGTTACCAGTAATCATTTATTTGTAAGAATTTTTAATTGTCATGCAATTTGTACATGGTTGGCTCTAGCAGAAGTAAATGTTCGGGTACTATCACCTGTTGAAAAGCTTACCTGCAACATTACAACGTACAGCCCATTAGGGCGGCAACAGAAATTCACTTCACGTTTTCTCGATGTGTATTTCAAAAACAGTACACATAAAATATATTTACCTTAATATATAATTCAAAACTCGGCTTCTTCTTGTCTTCGTCAGCTTTGGGCTCGAAGAAAGAAGCACTGTCACTCATTTTGAAGCAACTTTAGGAGGAAAACTCGGTGAAGTCGCTCCTCTGCGAAGATACACACAGACCTCGCCCTGGCATAAAGTATCCAGTACGCATGCGTGAGCAAGGGGCACCTTGTCCTGTCACGTGACATGAATTAAAACTTGCAACAACACATGAAATGCATTTCCTAGCATAGTATTCAAACATGTTATCAGAAGTATTTCATTTTTTCTCTTTCATACTTTGTGAAACATTAAGATGAATATATAAAGAAAGTTGTTTGAGAAATGCAGGCATAGTTATTTTTCTTCAAAAACCTGTATGTTGTTTTTAGCACTTGGTTAGTAGGAACATGTGTACACACTGTAGATTTGACATCTTTCTTTTAATGAGGTACAGACGTGAAGTATTGAAAGGTTCAATTTCAAGTAAATATATGGTGACGTTATAGGACTGAAAAATAACAATATAGATTAGACTGAGTTACATGATGTGGTGGACTGCAGACTTAAGATTGTTTAAATGAGTTTATTGATATTTTTTGTAATAGAAAGATCCTGGATTATATGACATAACCAAATAAATAGGACTATATACATATGATAATATATATATTTATGGGACAGGTTTACATACCTGATTGCAGAGATGGTGATGAGACTTCACTGCAATATACATGTAACTGTTCCTGTTAAGTAATGGAAAATACCAAACTGAATCTATAGTGATATTTCATACTTATTATATTTCTCTTCTTCCCCTTTTTTTTTATTAAATTTCTCTTTTTTCTTTTGTGATAAGGTTTTGTATTTAATTCACCTAAAAAAAGAGAGGATACATTTGGTATGTGCAGCCATTTCCTGCTCACTTTACAATTCAATGTCAACACTGCCTTCAAAACTATTGCAGAAATAATATAACATCCTCACAGACAAATAATGCTTATGAATTGTATATTTTACCCCTAGACCTTCCCTCCAGTAAAACCTTGATTGACATTGCATTCTAAAGGTATGGGTAATGGTCAGTTATATGACTCGGGCGATCACAGATCAAATCTACATAATTGTATGTCTTATATCTAAGCCAAATAAGGCCAACTTGTAACATTCCTATATCACTGGACCACAGTTCCATAACATAAACATGATATATATACAAATATAAAAATTTGACTTTTTTCAAACCATACATGTAGCATTGACAAGTCCAATGGAAAGGACCAGAATGATGTCTATAAAAGCATCTATTGTGAAGCTTAAGAAAAGTTATCTGTTCTTTCATTAGCTCTTAAAGATGACAAGGCTTGTGCTTAAATCCATGTTATATAATATCTGATTACATAGTACATACACATAGTATACTTTCCTATCAGATTACAAAACATGTAATATTAGTTATACAACATAATTGAGACTCTAATTGGTAATCATCTTTAGTTTCCAGCATTGTCATCTTTCCTAGCCATTGAGGATTTACAAGCACTTTAGTGCTAGAGGAGTGCATGAATTGATCATATTCTTTGGCTAACAAACATGAAATATTGTAATATCAAACTATTTTTTCTGTAAATTAGGAAAGGAATAAAAAAAAACAAAGACAGTAAAAATGTTGCCAAAGGAAAGTATGATTTGAAACTACCATTTTAGATAAAATATTTTAATCAATGCCACCAAGGATAAAAGTTTTCAGGTATAAAATGGCATTCACAAAAAAGACTGTTTGCTTCCAGTTCACACTTTGTACTAAATTTTACCTAAAACTGACATTTTAATATCAACAAACTTAGCCTATCTTATTTTAGATCTTTCAACTACATGTAAAGATTCCTGAAAAAATTATGATAATTTTCGGTCGTTCAGCCTAAAATATTGTAAGGTAAAGCCTTAACCTACATGCTTTTTCCGGAAACAAAATTTTGTACCTACTATGATGTACCTGTTATGTGTATACATATCATTCTATCTATCAATACTGAGACAAGTTACCTGGTGAAGGTATTTTGGTTTCAGATCTGACCTTTACACTTGAATTGTTTTGAAAGTTAAATGTTTCTTGCATTGAAAAACGCTTTCAGAGCAGCCTGAGCTGTTTAGAAATCTGTTGAGCTATTTGTGTGTCTGGGTGTAGATTTACAACAGATATACACAGTGTGGAACCTGTTTAATTGATACCTATCTTCATAGCTCTTCACAGACAGTTATTTACTTACAATGCTGTGTTGACTGTCACAGGACATCTTGGTAACACAGTAAGTACTAGACTTGCAGAAGTTCTAGATATGAAAATAAAAAATCTTCATGCCTTCAATCCTTGCTTAATTCCTCTTAGATCCAGGAATAGCATTAACATTTATTTTCAAGTTTTTGTCTATTTGGAGTTTTATATATGTTTCAGCTATAATTTCTTCAAGTAAATATTTCTTGACAGCAACAAAGTTTGAAAACAATGTTTACTTGACTCATATTGTATTTTCATATTTGAATACATAGCATAGCTTTTTGATAAGCAATATTTACACGGAAGTGGTCAAGTCAACTGAGTATAGCCAATACATAGTCAGACTAAACAAGCTTTTGTTGATTACACAACTGGGTCTAAATATATTTTAAAAAGTAAGGCATTATATTGTGGTGTAGTAAGAGGACCAGACAATGGTGTGAACTTGGTTATCACTTTAGGAAGATTATCCTAGAAGACCTTGTATAATTCCAAGGGTGACGTTGGGGAGGGGGGTCTCAAGTACTCTCAAAGTAGTCTCATATTTTAAGGAAACACAAAATAAACAAAAGAGAAAACAGAAGAGGTTTGTACCTGATGCCTGTCTGGACTGTATTACATAAATACTCTAGGTTGTGCAGCTAGCAAGCTGTAAATTACAGCTACAGTCACAAGGAATGATTCAATGGCTTATACATATCATATATTAAATATGGTCTCATTTTACATCACTAAGGAAATATTTAATATCCAGCTGGTTATACTAGTCCTTCATCACTAAATACCATGTGTGATTCCATGTTTTGCTCTCTATCACAGGATATTAGAAATCTTAAAAAGTTTCAGTAATCAAACATTTTACCACAGGAACACACACCATTGATCAGATGTCATCACTGCAGAATTCTGAATCAAATCATCTCGGCTTTCTTTCCTAGGCAGATGAAAGCCAAAAAAGTATATCAAATATACAAGAAATACGGGCACAATAATATAGGTAGTCATAAAAGAAAATCTTTACAGTCATTTATAGGGTGAGATCAGGTAAAATCAATAAGTCTATAGGGGAGACAAGAAATTAATGGCCTGTTAAAAAGTCGGTAAGATAAGCACAGATGTTGGAATTAGACAAGGTGAATGTTTGTTACAGGGAAATCTGAATGTCTCTGTTAAGTGTACATACAATACAAAAAACATGTGTCAAACACATTATTTAGACCTCTGGTGTAAATGCATTGCTTCTGAAGTATGCCTGTTGCCACTTGAGAAGTGCAGTTCACAAAAAAGGCCTATTGGGCCTACCAAGATTGTAATTAGTTACAAAATTCAATGACTAAAGTTTGTGGACAGATTATTACAGTTAGCTGAATCTATTTGCATCCCCTTTTGGGACTAGACTAGACTGGCTCCTGTCTCCAGAATCTTCAATTATAAATAAAATTGAGTTTTATAATTCTCATCTCTTTGATAAGTCTGATTCTGAATTTCTGAGAGGAGAGATCAGCCAGTAGAAAAATGTAGAGTGTAATTTAGTGGCTGGTAGCGAGTCTGGAAAAGGACATTTCAAACCATTTTTTCTACTAAATATTGCGACATGTCACTCTTAATCAAATGGTGTTTGGGGGAAAAATAGTTTAAAAAAACAAAGGTTAAAATAAGAAAACAGTTATAGCCACAGAATATGCACTTATTGGATATAAAGCGACAATGTCAAATGAGTTGTCCGAGCAGCAACTACAAGCATTCCAATTAAAGCAATTAGTGTAGCATTTAATACAAGTATCATCTGTTTCAAGATCTCCTTTCCTGGTTTTGATGATCCTTACAGAACTCTCTATATACTGTAATTAACATGTGTTCTTGAATAACAGAGGTAATTTGAGACCCTGAAAAGTGTAGGTCTCCTCATTTTAGAAAATGTAATAAAGCAAACATTGTTTTCAGTGGATGGCACCGTTGAATGTAAACTCTTGTGTATCTCCAAATCTGATATACAGTGGATATTCAGAAGATCTGGAACATCATGTGTATTACATGGCATCAACAGGTATCCTACGGTCAGGTTAACAAGTAAAAATTCTACACAACAAACTTTACAAAAAGTTTATAAAATATGCATGCAAGCACTGCTTATGTTCCTTATGTGTGCAATCAAGTATAAATGACACACGTGTCAGAAAATATTTTTTATCCTTGAAAAGACAGTGTGGTTTCATTTACTACCAGTCATCCCTTTAATTACTGTCTCTACATTCACAATGATTGTCCCACTTGTCCTTCATAATACAAATATATTGTAGCTGGCTTTTTAATTCAACCATGGGCATAGATATACAATCTATACAAACCTAGGAATTATAAATGCCAACTCTAAAACCTCAGATTCTCAAGCAATCTCTGTAGTTTCTTTTCCAATTGTGAATTCTTCTCTGGTGTAATATCTTGAAAACAAGGTAAACTTTTAAGACAAGAGGCATATAGAATAGCTTGGTATTGCTAACAATGACAGATATATGCTTCAGAAATTGATCCCTGTCATCTATTTTTGCAACAACAAAAGTTTGGTTAAAAACTGACCAACTCTTTCAGAGGAGATATTTGCTTTTACCTAAATTGTCCTCTTTTGAACCTGCATGCACACAGCCACCTTTGCATAAGATCACTGAAAAGCATAATTACACTCCCATGGATTGATAATGCCTCTGCTAAAATCTTTAGCTACCTGTGTCAGCAATGGATCATGTCATTTAAATAAAACTGACCATTTTGACCCCCTACATTTCACCAAGACAGGAAGCTTTTTATTTGCAGAGCTTTTGATCCCTGTAACCTAAGAATGGTATATGAACCACACTATTTTTGGGTGTTAGCTGTTACAGCCAAATATGAATTCATTCTCAAAAAATTAATCAGGACTCTTTTCCAGGAAAGTAAGTCCCTCCAGTGTACATTTTGATCCCAATAAGGATGCTACATCTAAAATTAGAATTGATCTAGCTAATTTGACCTCACTTGACCATGCCATTTCCTCAGCTTTTCTGTGGTCAGAGCCTATTTCATAAATTTTCATGTCATCAGTTAAATGATGGCCACTTGTACCAAATTGTGGTTGTGGTTTGCTCTGTGGGTTTCTTTTCATGCTGAAGTTGACAGACAATAGAGAACAGACAATAGGTAGCTGAATAAACACTGTACCACTTCATCATTGTTCTTCATACCAGGTAAGGTAATAACAGGGTTTTTAAACATTCTGTATCAGAGATGTTAAGATAACATATAAATTACTTTACAATTCATAAAGATACAAAGATGTCAGCCTTGTGCTGACACGTAGAACACTATCAGTACATCCTTGTTGTCAGTGTGTGACCCTTGTCACAAAGTGTACCCTATATCTCCATAATCTACATAAATTACTTACCTTGTTTTATG